GTGTGTGTGTGTGTGTGTGTGTGTGTGTGTGTGTGTGTGTGTGTGTGTGTGTGTGTGCAGGGTGAGGTGTTTTGCACATATCTCTATCACATGGGCGACCATGAGGCACATCCTTTGGTTTTTGATTCTGTGTTTGTGTGTGCGCGTCAGGAGGGTAATTACAGGCTCAGGGTAAAGCCTGGACAAATTACAGAGGATCTCGCAGACACACTCTCACACACACACACACACACACAAACACACACACACACACACACACACACACACACACACACACACACACACACACACACACACACACACCCCGCTTTCTGCTTGGGAAACACAGGAAGCCACAGACAAATATGCTCAAACACGCTATTAAAAATTGCAATGACACGTAAAATTTTGTTTTCTGCTAATAAAAGTTAAAAACCCATCCAACATGCTGTGGTCATTTTACTTGGCATCTTGGCAAATAATTTTTTTTTATTTTATTTTTGCTTAAAAAACATAAATGCCTACAGAAAAAATTAACAATTAGCCACTGATAAAATTAATGTAACCTTGTATTTACACAATTAGTGTTTGTCTTTTTTTCAAGTCAAGTCAAAGTTTATTTATGTAGAAGATTTCCAACCTCGGTTGATCAAAGTGCTTCACAACAATCACATCACATTTATCTAAGGATAAAACTAAATTACATTTAAATTAAACTAAAATTTAGTAAAAAATTATAAAAACAATAATAAAATTGGTGGTAAAATACCAAAAAATGTAATATGAATAACAACCAAGACCTACTTAATTGATTTTTTTATTTATTTATTTATTTGTTTTTGAAGAAATGCAATAATTTTTTTGCCTGTGTGTGGGTGTCTGTCTGTGTCTTTTTGTTGCTAAAAAAATCCCGTGAACCACAGAACAAATATGAATAAAACTTGCAAATAAGTGATCAATTTCTGAAATCAGCCCAATCTAAGACGGCTAAAGATTAGAGCTGCACAATATATCGGGAAAATATCATCATCGTAATATCAGTGGACTGCTTGAAACGTAAAAAGGTGTTTTGAAGTTATGTTTCATGCTAACACAGTCTCACGGCAGCAAAAGCTCCCACCAGACACAAATGACAGATTAGAAAGGCAGGAAAGAAAAAAAAGGCATACCACACCTGTTATCGTCATTGCATCATTTTCAAATATTATCACCATTGCGAGCTTTTCCAATATCGTGCAGCCCTATTAAACATGGCTAAAACTCAGTCGTTGCTACAGATGAGCTAAAATTTGATATGAAGTCCATTTCCAAAACATCTTCTGAGCACAAAAAGGTCAGGCAAGATATTTGTTCACTCAAAATGTATTCCTTCCAGAAATGCTAGGTCTCAAAATATTCTCTCTCTGTCCCTCACTCTATGATTTATCCTCACGTAATTAGTAGAAAAACTCCACTGATGACACATGGTTGCACATGCATGGACAACAGAATGATCCTTTCATGCCTGTACACGGGATGTTTTGGGAAAACCAAAGTAAAATCAAACAATTTTGTTGAGCGCTCAAAGGAAACAACATCACTGATTCACCAGCTATCCAGTGGAAACTAAAAAACATGAAAACACTTGATCTGAGAGTCTTGTGTGAACTGAACTTTCCTTCTCAAATGAAACTAATCTCAGAGAGACCGTCGGATTATTTGATTACACGCTAACAGAGCTGCTAACTCTATGAGCGATCACCTGATGCCTTGGAGTTACGGAGACGCCATTTGTTGTTTTGAACGTGTGAAAGAGTGAATTGTCCCCCTCTATCTCTGCCCATCATATGTCAGATGTCAGATAAGGACTGTCCAATGGGAAATGGAGTGGGGAGGGAGGAGGAGGTGGGAGGAGTCACCTGATGACAGGTCAGAAGGAAGAGGAAGATGTTGGGGGGGGGTGGTAGTGTTAGAATGCTACTGGTGTTGATAGGTGTCCTCAGGAGGGTGTTTGATAAGTGAGACTGCAAGTTACTAAGTAACTAAAACTCTGTTGGGTAACGGGTTGGAGGGTCAAGCTTTTCTCAGTAAGGGGGACACCAAGGGCAGGGCGGGGTGAGGTTCTGTTTTGATTGGCTGCAGATCTCAACAAGCGTTCATTGATCCACAAGGACCACTGATAAAACACTTCCTCTAAAGCTTTGGAACCATTTAATGTTTGCTTTTCCTCTTTGTTTTGTAAAAACAATCATGCACACATCAGTGTTTGATGACCTTTGCACGAGAACAAAAATAAAGCTCAAACTAACTTTGTGTTTATGACTTGTTTTGGCAGAAACCATCTCCACACAGACTGCACTTTTCTTGAAGAAAATAAAAAGACGTAAAATATTGAAAAAGATCTGTTTCAGCACTGTTCTATAGCACACTATGATAATCAGGGGTGGAAATTTAAAATTTTCCCCACCAGCCACAGTGGCTGGTAGAAAAAGTTTTGTAGCGGCCACTCAAACTTTTTACCAGCCACTATTTTTTTTTTTGTTTTGTTTCTGTAACATGGCGCCATTTAGACAATTCGTGGTCTTTGGTGGCCTAATTAAATTGTTTGTGCCTACAATCAGATAATAGCACTCAAAATCTATTAGTGTCTTAGAGTATTCAAACCAGCCTGTTGGACAAAATTAAAATGATGGACTTTTTTGATGTCTCTACTTCTCTTACTAATTTGCTTTTTGCTTGTATGTAAGTGAATACCAATTATTTTTAGGTAGGCTACTAGGCTGGAAAGAAATTTTTAAGGTGAAAAAAAAACTAAATTACCTTATAACTAAATTACCTGTTGTAAGAAAATTCGTATTCAATAAACTGAAGTCGATATTAAAAACACAATTGTTAAATAAAATGATTTGTAGAAGGAATCAAACCATACAACACCAGAATTCTGGATCTGAGTGAGGTTTATTTTCACTCAAGCTGACAGGAAACTAACACTACCGAAAAACCAGGAAGTTCATGTATTTATACACCTTCTTCAATGCCTGTGTTCGCCCCCTACTGACCTACGGCTGAATCACAGGCATTCAGACAAAATCCTCAGCTACTGTTATAACGGTTGATTATGTGTTGTCACCTATTGCGGACATGTAACTAATCTATATCAATCAAAACATATTAGATTAAACACTGTCAACATTACAAAAAGGAAAACCTAAGAATATAGTGTTGTGCTTTTAACATCAGTACAAACCTCTAATAACTTTAAATTTCTTCACCGTGGTAAATTTATCTCCATTTAATAAAATCAGCATTTTCATTTCATCACGTGTAGTTTTTTTTCTACAGGCTACTAGTATGAATATGGGTATTTCTTCTGTTCTAAGTTAGATTTCAACAACAGATGGAAATCCCTCTGATGATCCATCGTCTCAGAGTGGATCATTTCTATTTTTACTTTTGAAAAAGTTCATGTCACAAGGTTCGTTTTGTTACTTAGTTTGCCTGGGTTTTTGTTTTGTTCTGCATCAAAAAAATAGCCTGCAGAGAAAAGTTTAGGGGAAAAGAAGCAGTGTATTTATTTATTTATTTATTTATTTATTTATTTATTTATTTATTTATTTATTGGAGCTGTCAGCTGGTCTTCAGACGTTTCCTAGAGGTTAAAAAACTGTTTTTCCTTAAATTTCTCTTGGTAAATCAAAGTGATCATGGTTACTGAGTTAAACTATTTAACAACTAATATGAAGTTTTTTTAAACTAACATTTACGTAAAATTCACGCATTGGCAGTTAGAAATAGTGTTTTTAATCAGCTGATTTCAGGATTTTGCTCTTGATGCCAGCCTACAGCTCTAGCTTTGTTGTTTGCTGAAAGATGAAACAAAATTAACTGCCCTGTTAAATTCACTATTGTCCGTTTTTTTCCCCCTTTCCATTTATTGTTAAAAAAAACTGCAACTTTCGGTTCTTCCTTTGGTTCCTCTTGAGAAAGGGTTTTGTTACCTGCTGCCTGATTAACTTCAGATATGTAACCCACATTAAAGTTAGTGTTTTTCTTTTCTCCTTCTGATAATCGTACGTTTACCTGTATAATATGCACACGGGGGGGTGATGGGGGCGAGCAGGCAGACCACACAGATGACAGCGCGCAGGAAAGGAGGAGGGGGGAATTTATTTCTAGCTGCAGAGCGGGTTGGAAGATGACGTTATTTAATGTTTTTTTTAACGTCCTACAGGCTCTGAAATGCAAAATAAAAACGAAACTGAGGTTTTCAGTAGCGTGATTTGAACGCAATTTTTTTTAGTTCATTACACACCCGCCACGGTGGCGGGTGCGTTGTTCAGGTCCACACGCCACTTCATAATTTTACCAACATTTGGCCAGTGGCAGGTGCTAATTTCCACCCCTGATGATAATTGGTAAACATGCACACTCTAAAAGATATCAATGCATCCCCTACAAAAGATACTGTATAATGAAGGAAGATTAAAATGATTGACAGATAATAGTTTAGCAAAAATCAATGATGATATCATGACTGGGATAAGAACCACAACAGACATCTTAAAATGTGCTCAGGCTAATCAACCAAACATGTTTTTTTAATGTTTTATTTTAAGTTCAGTTGAGTTATTACATCTCATCAGTGGTATTTTTTTATGTTTATGGAAGCATGCTTTCCTACAGTGATTTTGAATGACTGACCTAATGTTTTAGTCCGGTGACATCAAAGCTTTTAGTTTTTTTGTTTGAACTTTGCTCCATTACCTTTTCACCTCTTCTTCGTTATATCAAAGGGTGTTTGCCACGACTGATTTATGTTAGGATGAACAGCTTTGTTTAAATGTAACTCGTTTTAAAACCTGAAGGTTCAGGTAGTGCTGCTAACATAGCCCAGATCTTGATTCATTCATACGACTGGCCTAAATCTTTTGATGTTCCAAAATTGTGTTTTCACAGGAAAAAAACATTTACGTAAAATTTTCTATGTTTAAAAATTTAATTGTATAAAGGTCTTTAACTTGTTTAAATACTGCCTTTGTTAAAACATCTCCTCAAGTATTATGAAGTCCTTCTAGTCTGTAAAAGCTGTTGCTTTTTTGAGGTATGCACTAATAAGAGCCATTACACTCACTCGTCTCCTACCCGCCCTTTTTACTCACAAACGCTCTTCCTTTCCTCCACCCCATGTCCCCTCTTTCCCTTCTCCTGCTCTCTGTCCCTCTCTGTGTCTCTAATTAGCAGCGCGTTAAAGTCAGTAAACAGCGGACAGGAATGCCCAGACGAGCTCGTAAAAATGACATCAAAAAAAAAAAAAAAAAAGACGCCAACAAACAGGTTTAAGCTCCCGGCTCATATGGCGTAGGATGAACGCGAGGAAGTAAAAGATGAAGAAAAGGAAAAGGGACAGAGAGAGGAAAAAATGAAATGTGTTGTGGAAGTTGGCACGTTTTGTGCTAAAATACAATTTTCCCTTTTATTTGTGTCTCTATTGTCCAATCGTTCCTTCATTGTCTCTGCTTCTTCCTCACCTTCAGTTTTTTTTTTTCATCTTCTGAAGTTTTTTTTTTTCCAACCATCCTGCTCCCCTTCAATATGACCACACAAATGACTCTTTTATGCACAGGAATGGAAGGCAGAATGAGGAGGGGAAGAAAATGAATGTGATGAAGGGGAGAATGACAGGAGTGAGGAAACCGAAGAAAAAGAAGGGCACGGAGGGGGAGTGGAGACAAGAGGAGGAGGCAAAGGTGAATAGATAGAAGAGGAAGGAGAGGAGGGGAGAGGAAGAGGGGAATGAGTGGAGGAAGGGTAGAGCGGGGTCAGAGCTGATGTTGAGGGGGTTGATGTGGGGTCAGCATGATGAAGCAGTAATGGAAGTGTGTGTATGTGTGTGTGTGTGTGTGTGTGTGTGTGTGCAGAGGGGAGCACAAGATGTATGGCTGGTTGACAGAGGAGAGAAAGACAGAGGCAGATTACAGCGGAAGGCACAGAGGTAACCGTGTCAGTCTGGGTGTGGTTTCACAGTTCTGTTTGTTACCAATCTCTGTTCCGAGTCAAGTTTCAGAATCACACCGACGAAAAACAAACCTTCAGCAGGTCAAAGCTCACAGGTCAGGATTTATTGAATAGATATGATTTCATTAAGTTACACTGAGATAGGGCTGCCACAAACGATTATTTTTATAGTCAACTAATAACCGATTTTTTTTTCGATTAGGCGACTAATCAGATCATACGTTAATTGAATATAAAACATAGAGCTTATCGTGCCAGAATGCAGCTGCTATTATATAACCATGGTTAGATTTTAGCTATATGCTAACTAAAAATAACTGTCATGGAAGGCAAGTTCTGCTTCTCAGATATTGCACAGGTTTTTCTTTCATTTTCTTAAAATGATCCCACACTTTTGAGCTCCGTTGCTG